TAATATATATTTATTAATAATTTATATTAATTAAAATATAATATAAATAAATAAATAAAACAGAAAATAAAATAAATAATATATATTAATTAAAATTTTCTTTAATTAATAATAAAATAAAAAGTAATAATCACAAAAAAATAAAAAAACACAAAAAATTATAAAACACAAATGATTAAAGGCTACTTAGGAGTGGCATTAGCACATGATAGGGGTGCCATTAGCCACCCCCTTATTTTATCATCCTCTTTTTCTTGTGCAGCATGTGAGCAATATATATATTAAAAATTCCACAAATAAGTAAATCAAAATAAAATAGATAAAAAAAAAAAAAAAAGGAGATCACGTGTTTATTAGAAGGTTGACCAAAGCGGTTTGTATCGTCTCCAATTATATTCTCTTGACCATTGTCCTTATCATGCACCCGCATCAATCAAGGGGATGGATTCACACAAACAATACCATAGCTCATACACCGTCCGATTAAATTTGTTTACAGCAAAAAATCAACGGACAGGATCATATCCCCCTTACCACAAAAGTAACTCCAGATATTTTTATTTTTGAATTTCTTTTATGAACTTTTGGTTTCCCTTCAATCTCAAGAAAAAGTCGAATCTTTCGACGAACAGAGAGCTCCGTTCCAGAATAGAATCAGATACATGCTAACTGGTAAGCTCTAATCGCTTTCTGTCTATTTGATTGCATCGCATCCCATTATTTCGTTATATATTTGTGTATGAAGTGACGATCAGAATCAGATCAAGGCTTGATTTTTAACTTTGTTAGTTTGAACTCCGGATCCTTTCTCTTGATTGAATTCAAGGAAATGTAACTGGAATTGGGTTCTATATTTGAGATCTCTTCTAAAATTCAGAATTTCTAAATTGCATGTGATAATTTGATGTCAATTTTAAGGGTTTGCGAAATTCTAAGGTTTAAGATCAAGTACAACATACGGACTCGAATTAGCTATTGGAGTACAGTGTCTTGTTAGATTTTGGGGCGAAAGTGAGCTGCTTTTGTATTAATCTATTTGTATCATATAGTTTGATCATTGATGTTAACAATGATCCTAAAATTTACTGATTCGATTCACATATCAGAGCCACTTTCTCTAAGATCAGGATGTTGAGTTGTAGACCCAGGACATTGGGTGATTTTGCTCTTATTTTGGATATTTTTTGTTTGCAAAATCTCCTGAATTATGTTAAGAAGATGGCTTAAAAGTACTAGGAGGCTCTCATAATGCCCTATATCTCTTATTATGAGTGTAAAGATAAAGTCTATCAAGGAGCTTGTTCAGATGGGCTCTTCACTGTATTTGTTTTGACAAGATTGGACAAGGACAGTGATAACAACCAGTTGGGTAATGGAAAAACAACAAATAAATAGATTTATTGGTGTCAAATGCAGAACTAGCCAATTATATAGAAGTATTTAGGAATGGATTGAACGGGAAAATGTATCTCCTTTCCCACTATGTTTTGGGGGTGTGTTATTTTTAATTTTTTTAAATTTGTATAGGATTTAAAAATCAAGTCTTTTTGCTATGATATTAGTTCAAAGGTTGGTGTGACCAGGAGCTGTAGTATGACTCCTATTGCTTTTACGCTTCTAAAAGTAGGAAAAACATATTATTGAATGTGACTTAGAAACTGAAACAGAATCACTGTTTGCTTTTTACATGGTAGAATTCCCGTGTTCCTACCTTGCGGTCATTGCATTTAGATGCTTAACCTGCTTATTCTCGATAGAGTCAATTTATATGCATTCTGTCAATGTTGGGTTCACATAATTGTGTTGCAACCATTATACTACCTTGAAATATGATTACTTTTCAAGATAACCACTTATATAGTTTTTTTTTTCTTACAGTAAGAAAGACAGCAGATCATTTAGCAACTCAGATTGTTTACTTGCCTAAAAAGAATCCCAATCCCCATGCTAAACCTTCTAATTCTTTAGTGACTAATACTAGATGATTAATCATCAGAATATCCCGTAACTGGTTGCTTTCAAGAAATCTAATGCTCCAAATGGTTTGATTTGTTCATTTCTGGAGTGTAGTACCTGAAGGCAGGCCCATGTAATGAGGGCAATAAGCTAATATGCGAGATAAACTTGAATTCTGTACTCTACAATACAGTTGACTCTTATTTCACTGGTTTTGCAAAGTCCAATACCTAACATAAATTTTCTTATATGCATAGGCAATAACTGAGAACTTATCCTCTCTGTTGGGTACCTCATAGCATTTTAGCAACACCCTGAAAAGGAGCCAATTGCAAGATCAAAGTTTTCATTCTCTTCTCAAAAAGTATTGATCTTGCATTTCTTTGTAATAATACGAAAAGGTTACTTTTGCGGAAGAGCCATTTGCTGATATTATTTGAGTACTTGAGTGTACATCATAAATTATTTGTTGTTTCTTTAGTGTCAAAAGATATCTAAATAAATAAAACCTGCCAATTTTGTGTTTGACTACTTTGCATGGTTGTATATGCATGTTGATATGCTAAAGTCGGATTATTTCTCCATAGACCTGAAAATGGAAGAGGATGGTCCTGATGCAAAGAAATGGGAGGACTTGGACATTGACATTCTGGTGAAGATATTTCAAACTTTTGACATTTTTGAGTTGACCTCTGGCATCGCTAGAGTCTGTAGCACATGGCGTTATGCTGCTTGTGACCCTCTGTTATGGAGAACTCTTGATCTGTCGATGCTCAAGTCCAATTTTATTAAAATCCCATTAGAACCTTATGTTTATGTGGATGGGCGATCTGATAAAACGCTCACAAGAGTTCTGAAGATTGCTCTAAATCTTAGCCGTGGAAACATATCGACTTTGATTTTCCATTTCAATCTGTATGTCAGTGATGATCAGTTGACATATACTGCTGAAAGGTATCATCCAAAAGCTTTTTCTTCTTGTCTTCATCTTTACATTTATGTTCATCTACTTGCCTTTTAGGGCATGTTTGGTAAGCCGGATATAATGGGACACGACAAAACAAAAAGCTTTTTGTCCCACGTGTGGCAGGACATTAGATAGGGAGAGGATTGAGCAGAAAAATGCATTTTTTATGTCCTTACTAGGTGGAAGAAAAATAGTGAGATTGGACAAGATTGATAAATTACTAAATTACCCATGTCACATTAAAACCCTAAAACCCTCGACAATTATTTCATCCGCCTACCTCGCTCTCGTCCTTCCAGTCTTGTTCCGTCCTGTCGGTGTAACAAACACACCCTCAAAGAGTATTTTTCTTCTCAATTTTGGAATTGAACGATCTGTTCATTTGGCCATTTAATGCAGGTGCCCAAGGCTGAAACGACTAGTTTTGCCTGCATGGAATCGAATAAAGAGAAGCGGAATATGCAAAGCCATAAGCATGTGGCAAGATCTTGAATCACTAACGATGCCGAGCATAGCCAATCCTCCCTACATCATGGAAGAAATCTCCAAAAACTGTAAGAAATTTTCGGAGCTCAAAATCATGGGGCCATGCGACATGTTCTTTGCACATACACTTGCAAATTGCTTACCAAACTTAAAAGTGTTGAGCCTACGATGCTCGATGCTGTTCAAGGACGCACTACTAATAATCTTAGATGGGTTAAAGCATCTGGAAGTGCTTAATATATCCCATTGCATCCTAATAGAAGTTCCTCCTCCACCTGCTCCTAGAAAAGTTCTAAAGGAGCTCGATGAGTCAATCTTGGAAAAGGCGTGTGGGATACGGGAGTTGGTGACATGTATGGACGAGGTGTGTGTTATGTGTCGGAGAACGAGGCTGGATGAAGGGTTGATGAGGTGGTATAAATACGAGGAAGGGCTTTGGAAAGAAGATGAGATCAAGTGTCTTGCAATTTAAATAAGTAAGTAACCCCATCTTCTATCTATTTTTTTTTATCGTAAACCCTTTAGTTTGTATATTATCCGTTCGCATGTAGATTGTAGAGAAGGCAGACAGGAAAGTTTTGTGCTCAAGAACTCTGCAAGCCCCGTTTTCTTTGTTTTTCTTTGTTTTTCTTTTTGTACATCTTGGTGGTATTGACACATTAGATCCCCGAGTCTATATAATGATATGCAAAAACATCTCATCCGTATTTATTGACGACAAATTTACATCCCGACAGATGGACATGGTTTTTTTATTTCACCTCAGGCAAAAAAATTTAACCTGCATCTCCGAACTAGTGTGTTTCTAGATAAGATAACCGTTAGGACGCCTGTGGCTGGTTAACTGTTGCTCCATTTTGATGCAAGTTTCCCTTCCTATGTTTTGTTGAAACCTTTGGATTATGTCTCTGTAGTTTAAAATTTACATATCATTACCTACTGTTTGCAATTTTCTTTGGATTTGGTAACAACAGATGTTAAAAGGAGCGGGAAATTAACAAAAATAGCCGTTTCAGCCGGATACACGTGAAGAACATGCAAGGCCAATTTAGTCATTTTACATTTTTGTATTGTACAAGTTTGGACTGTATATATCCACGTGTGCAAAGCATTTGAAAAAACGAAGACCAAGTTAAACCACACTCCCTCTTCCTCCCCCTTCTTCATGTCCACTGTCTGCAAACTTAATCCAACAATGGAGCTCTCAACTTGAAAAAGGAAACCATAACTTAACAGGGTGTTGATGCTCTTAACTTGTGGTTTGAGAGCTTCATTGCAGGTGGTGTGTATGAGGAAGGGGGATATGTTGAAGGAGGAAGGAAGAGGGGGGCTATTTTATTTGGTTTTGTTTTCTTAAATGTTGTACACACTTATATCCAAATTTGTACATTAAAAAAATTAATAAAGAAAAGTGTTAAATGATCAGATGTTGGATATGTATGTTAGTAATAAACCAAGTAACTGTTAAGTTTGTGTGCGGTCTGGTCGAAACAGACGTTGTGGACATCAAGGGTAGGTATGTTACGCTCTCTCTCTCTCTATTTTTCCTCTGTTTTAGAGGATAATTTAACATAAACGTTGGAACAAAAATTTCCCAAAATCAACTACAAGGGTGGTGTCTGATTGGTTTGAGTTTGACTCCAAATGTCAAAAGTACCAGGAGGTCCCAGGTTCAAATCCAAGGAGGAATAAAAATCTTCTTGTGGCCATGGAGGTTCAAATGCGGTGACTCTGGGTTATCTGCAAAGCAGGTGGTTGTCCTGGGATTAGCCGGCTTGCATAGCGGGTTGGATATCTAGGTTAATAAAAAAAAAATCCCAAAATCTCTAAAATAACGTAGTTGTTGGAGATGTTCTGAGCTTGCATGGGCAAGATCGCATAGAAGACGTAGCAAGCGAGTTGGGAGTTCGTAGGCAACCTGTCAATGCTGGTTGGCTTGGTGACTAAATGCATTGATCTCTAACATTATGTTCTCAAATTTGGAAAGAAAAGAAAAGAAATATTTTTATTTATTTATTTGTGTTCTCGAAAGGGAAAGAAAATATTTTTTTATGTTTTTGAACAGTAGATAAAAGAAAGAAAAAATATCATTTTTACAAATATACCCTTTATTATAAAAGGTTGGGTAGTTTTGTAATTTTAATAATCTTTTTAAAATGTTTTAATTTTTCCTTTCCCTTTACTCCCAGTCCCACGTCTGGAAGGAAAGTTGTAGGAGGAAACTTATTAAATGTTCTTTAAGTTGTTCCCAACCTCGTTACCAAAATTCCCGGATATGGGACCGATTGTTAAGCGATAGAACTGTTTACTAATTCATGAACTAATGGACAGAGAGAAATCTATGTATGTTCGAGTGGCCTTTCATCCACCCGTTCAATGTGAATCTTAGAAAATAGTTTTTTTTTTAAAACTATTAACTTTTAAATATTATTTAAATTATAAACAACTTTTCAAATCATAATAATTTTTTGATTAACCTGGATATCCAACCCGCTATGCGAGCCGATTAGTCCCAGGATGACCACCTGCTTTGCGGATAGCTCGGAGTCACCGCATTTGAACCTCCGTGGTCACAATGAGATTTTTATTTCTCATTGGATTTGAACTTGGAACCTCCTGATACTTTTGACATTTGGAGGCAAGCTCAAATCAATCAAGCACCACCCTTGTGGTTAATTTGTTTATTTCTATGTAACCAAAACTAATAATAGAAAATGTATGTGTTCTTAAATGCAAATTGCATGAAAAAGTAACGTATTGTTAACTTGATTCTTATTTTGAGTAATGTACTTTTAAAACTTTTATTTTGGTAACTAAGACGTAAAGTTTTAAAAATTGAATTACCCGGTTAACCGGTTGATGTGGCGAGTAACGTGATATTCAACTCAATATTATTTGCTGACGTGGTCAGTGACATGAATTTTTTAAAATGTAAAATTAGCTTTTTATTTAATCTAAAATTAGTGTTCAATCGGTTACCCGAGTATTTAAATGTTTATAACTTTATATCTTAAATATCAAAAGAAAAGTTTTAAATCTATATCATCCAAAATAAAAATCAAGTTAAAATATGTTGCTTTTTATATAATTCGTTGTTTTGCAAAGTTGTCTCTAATTTGTCAAATAAGTGACGCCGCTTAAATAAAACCCGTCCGCTGCTTCAGTTTGACCCGTAACGGTCAACATCTTGACATTATTCTCCACGTTTTCTTTCATAAAACCATTAATATATTATTAAATTGCAATTTTTTATATTCTTTTTGTTTTTAAGAATTTTAAATAAATTTCATTTCTATAAAATTTATAATTATATCAAAAAATAAGATGATAAATATACAAAATATCAATTTTAATAGCGTAAAATAATAGTTATATTATATTAATATGTAATTAATTAATGATTTGCAATGATAAATAAGCGAAAGTTGCTTTATATTCATCTGATCAATAAATTATGATAATAAAAAATTAATACTGCAAACCATAAAAACCAATTAATTAAGATATTTATAAAAATAATGAGTTTATTTATTATCAAAGTCTAATTATTATGATCAACGGTTTATATTAGAAAACAATCAAGATATTCATCACAGTAGATGACCGATTGATATAAGTTTATATGTTTGTATTAATTGTTGAATTTGTAAACGAAACCACATCTATAAATTAACTATACATAATTTACCTGTTACACACTTTTTTTAAGATTATATTTTGTAAACTAATATTTAACTGATTAATTAGTGGTTAGCTGAAAATCTAACTGTTAGTTAATAAATTAGCTATTAATTGATCAACGATTCGGTTAAAAAAACTAGTTGATAAGTAAAATGACATAATAAAACAATATAAAAGAACACCTAAAAAAACTAATTCGAAAAGATATATGAAGGGGTAATTCAAAAAAATCTTGAAACTATTGAAATGCTATTTGAAATAAAATATCAGAAAAATTAGTTTATGATTAAGGGGTTATTATTGAAAGTAGTTTTAATAGCTTATCAAGTCACTTATCTTACCAGATTAACATGACAAGGATCAAAACTTTTAATCGGTAAAATGTAAGGCAAAGAACGAGAGTCTTATCTTGTAAGTGAGGGTGCCAGACTCTTACTGGTAATTGCTTATCGAATAAGATTGTTGCATACAATGTTATTTTGATGCCCAAGAATCTTATCGGTAAGATCAGCAAGAGTGTTGACTCTTATCGATAAGTGTCTACACTATTTTGATAAACGACACATAGACAAATGAGACTATTTAAATAAACTGAAAAGAACAGATTATTGTTTTAAAATGTTATTTATCAGTATATAGACGAAGAATCGTGTGAGAAACAGAATTAAGTGAGAATCGTAAGAAGGGATCTGGACCCATAAATCACGTATAATACGTGGATTAATTTGGTGCATCTCATCTTAATATATATCCAATGGTGGAGATCATTTCTTACACTTTTCACCGTAACCCAATCATCGATACATATAAATATACAATGATATTATGCCTATTTTTGAATTTAAAAATAAAGTACAATTATTACCAAAAACCATTTGTGTCCCAAAGCGTATTGATATTTTCTTTTTTGTGTTAGAAGTTTGTTACCAAAACGTAAAAAAATTTGTTAGGTTTTTAAGGGGTGTTTAAGATTGCTTATTTGAAATAATTTATGTTTTTTTTTATAAAAACACTTATCAATTTGTTATAAGTCAGAAAAATTTAATTTCTTCAAAAACTCCTTATTACTGAATTGACATTGGTATAAGTTATTTATTCAAACACTTAAAAATGTTTATTATCGATATCATACCATAATAAGTCAATAAATTATTTTATTTTTTGGATTAAAGAATAATAAATAAAAATAAAAAAAGTCGTAAAAATCGGTGTAGCAAAACCCTGAAATCTATGAGTAGATAAAAGTCGGTACAAATCGCTTTAAGCAGCAACCTACTTTCTCTCTTCTGTCTATCCATCCATCTCTCACACACAGAAGAAGAACATCATCGATCATCGATCATCGATCATGGCTGTGGAGCTGTTTGAGACTCTAAAAGAAGCCATAACCACATACACCGGACTATCTCCGACAACTTTCTTCACTGTAGTCGCTTTGGGTCTCGCCGTCTACTATGCCGTCTCCGGTATTTTCGGCGGATCTTCCGATCATCATCCACAACACAGACCTAGATCATTCGAAGAAGATATGCAGCCTCTCCCGCCGCCGGTTCAGCTCGGCGAGATTTCCGAGGAGGACTTGAAAGCCTACGATGGCAACGATCCTAAGAAGCCTCTTCTTATGGCCATCAAGGGTCAGATCTACGATGTCTCACAAAGCAGGTATATTGAATTTTGCGTTTTTTTATTGGATTTTTGGTCAATCTTTTTCCAGATTATTTTCGTGCTCTTTTTGTTTTTTATATTCCCCTGCTTTACCTTTTTGAGAAAAGGCACAATCTTTATGAGAATAATGGGTTTTTCTTCTCTTCTGTTGACTTGAGAATTGGGTATAATCAAAATTAGGGTTTTTAATTGGATTTTGGGTTGTTGATCAAGCTTATGATTTGGGTGTTTAGGAAGAAGGCACATGTTTAATTGGATCAATGGTTTTCTTGTGATTCTTTTTGATCTTATTCTCTACGTTTGATCCAATTCTTTCTACTTTACTGTTGTGATTCCCTATCGATTCCCCTGTATAATCTACTTCAGTACGTAGCAGTATTCTGGTGTTGCTTTTTCCCTTGTCTCTAATCTTTTGGTAACATATGGGGATTGATTTTTTTTATAAATAACTTGGCCCTTACCCTATTCGTCCAGTAAGATTAATTTGACTTGATAAACGCTTACCCGGGTAAGCATTTGGTAAATGGCCCCTTAGTTTCATTATGGATTAGCAGCTTGTGTTTACTACGAGCTCAATTGTTTCTTGCTATTGGATTAGTATTGTTTCATAAAAATGATGTTTATCTCTGCTATATATATATTTGCCATGGACACTACTTTTCAGAAAATGGAAATATATGTTTAATATTGGCAGATCATTTAGTTTATACTAATGGGTAGAATTTGCCATTTGTTTCAGGATGTTTTACGGACCAGGTGGACCTTATGCGTTGTTTGCAGGGAAGGATGCTAGTAGAGCTCTTGCCAAAATGTCATTTGAAGAAAAAGATTTGAATGGTGATCTCACTGGTCTTGGTGTATTCGAGCTTGAGGCATTGCAAGATTGGGAATACAAGTTCATGAGCAAGTATGTCAAGGTTGGATCCATCAAGAACCCAGAAGCTGCACCTGAGCCATCAACCACTGATCAGCCACCTGAGCCATCTGCAGTAGAACCGGCTGAGCCATCTGCAGCAGCACCGGCTGAGCCATCTGCAGCAGCACCGGCTGAGCCATCTGCAGCAGCACCGGCTGAGCCATCTGCAGCAGAACCTGCTGAGCCGTCGGCAGCGGAACCTGCTCACCATGTTTCACAGTCTTCAGAAGACCATGCTCCATCAGAAACTGCAGCCGTCGAAACCAAAGAAGACACCACAAGTGAAGCCAACAAAACGGAGTGATTTTCTTTGTGATGCCTTAAGGAATGTGTAGTATATGGGTGTCCATGATCATGAATTCTTATTTTATAGCTGAGTTATACCCGTATTGTTTGGCATAAGATGACGATTATGATAAGTTACATTATCTTAATGTTACTAAGTTGTTTTTAAAATGAATGATATGCATCCGGCATCTGGCTTCCTACTAGTCTTTCTTCATAAAGAAGTTTGTTTCTTGTCAACCAAAACAACAGTACCAAAATGTGGAGTTGGGCCTGTTTGTTAGCTACGTTATGAGCTTAATGAGACTCATGGCTATGTGGTCAGCTATACATTATTGTTTGGCAGTCGCTTAATAATATAGAAAGTGGCTTATTCAGTAAGCTTTTAGGGGGAGCTTTATGAAAACCAAGTTTTCCCAAACTTATCCCTCCCAATTAAAAAACATGCTTCTTCCATCTATGAAAAAACCCTCCCAAGCAAAAACTTCACAATCTATACAGACAAATTAATCAACACAGACAGTTTTATCTATACAGGACTTCAATGAAAGACCAATCAAGCAGGCCCTTAATCTTCTCTGAACAACCAAAGTGAGAACAAAGAGATTAAAAACTAATGCCTGCAACATCTAGGCCTAAATTGTGATTGGTTGATAACGAGATTATAAACAGTCTGGGAAGAAGTTAAAAAATGGCAAGTTGGAGAAAACTAGAGTCATTCAACAACCTTGCTTCCTACTGGTAAGCATGCCGAAGGGATCTGTATTACTTGTTAATCATTTACCCTTTTTCCATCTTATATTCAGCCAACATTTCCCATGTTCTATTATTTCTGTTTCATTATTATATGGAATTAGTGGTGGTCAACTAAGGATAAGAGAGGGTCATTAAGGTAATTTACAGAAATTGAGGTCAAGTTTGATTCTGTACATTGGCTCTATCATCATGTCCAACTGTTTCTGTCTCCACTCTTATAAATACCAGCATACTTCCAACAACCCTTTTCACATATCCTTTATACTTGCAGAAAGTTTGCATCTTCTACCCCCCCTCCTCCCAAGCATGAGACCGTCCTCACTTCTTATCTTGATGATCTTGATTGCAACTTTCCATTTTGGGAATTGCAGGATGATCAACACAGCAGCCATTGAAGAGACAGAACAAAGATTGTTAACAAGAAAGTTTCTTTTCTCACATCACAGGCAGCTAAGCACAAGTTCTTATCGTTTCAAGGAATTTCGCAGCAACAATGGTGGTCCAGTGAATGAATCGCATCAAGTTGTTCCAGGAGGACCAAACCCACTTCATAATTGATATGATTTCTTAGCAAAACTCAGTTCTTGTATCAGAATATAGAATTAGCAATGTATTGAAGTCTTATTATTTCCTTTTTTCTTGAGACAATCCATGTACGAAAGATGTAGATTAGCAGGATGCAGAATTTGATTGTATGAGATATGATATCAAATGAATCAGAATTTCGCTTACCTTATTGTTTTCATTCTCCAATGATCATATCCCACAAATTTACAAGAACTCAGATTCTTTTCCAGGATAATGTCATCCGACATCCATTGACTTCTGTAACGCGATAATTTTAAAAAAATAGTGCTAACAAGAACCTGGTTAGGTGCAAACTAAGTACTCGAAAGTACATCTTTAGGTACGCTCAAGATGACTTCTTAAAGACTATCAGAAGTTCTCAGCTTCAACGATCATGTCATCATGTTGTAATATCAAATTAATATCATGTGTTTTGACATTAATTTCAGATGTTCATCAAAGCAATCTAAGCTTCAAAGGGATGCATATCTCAGAATTCAAATGATTTGAAGTCAAACCCAACTCGATATATATATATGATCGAATATTTTGGTCTAACTAAAGCATATAAACGGAAAAAGAAAGAGTTCTTTGTTTGAATTCAGTGGTTGAGAGGGAAACAGAACCTGAATCACAGCTTGATCATCGGTAGGCAGCTGGTAGTACTAAGAGGACAGATGAATATGCACGTTGACTTCTGAATCGATGGCCAATAATGTGTATTATAGAAATACAGTTCTTAAATCTATTAAGCCAATATTTATATAGTTTTATTTGGTCATCTTAGCTAAGCCTGTTTCACAATCTAAAATAGTTGCAGCCTGCAGAATGACATCAAGCTGCCGGCTCCACTTGAAGATTGACACTGTTGAAGAAAGCTACAAACTTGGTTGGATTTATGCATCTTTAACTTAGTTTCTTGTGTTTTCATAAAGGTTCAAAGAAAGAATTTCAAAAAAAAAAGAAAAGATTTAAAAATTACTAAATTTTATATGAAAACCATATATCAGTGTCTGCATATTTGAGTTTCATGCTTACAAATGGCCTGTTAATGAATACCATGAACACCATGAACTGATCTTGATTTGTTAAATGAAGGTCAACTGTTAAAAAGTCAAAGATAACCCTTGCTTGTTAGGCATGCTCAAAGAAGAGGTTTTTGAGATCCATTTCATGGTTAAATTTAAAATACCCTTAATCAATCAGAGTCCACTCATTAAATTAAGGTAAAAAATGCAAGATGTCATGAACAGACAGTAGCTTAATTAAGAGAAATAATTAATTGCAGGTGTAATACTAATTCTAATTCTAATTCTCAGGTTGACCTTTTATACCTTATGAAAATTTTCCTATAAGTAGACTTGTTTACCAACCTACAACCCCATTCAGTTTTCTTGATCTACATAGAAAAATGAAGCTTCAAGTTTCTGGTTCGATCGTTATCGTCATCATCGTTCTTGGATCTTTAGCCCACATGTCGAGTTGCAGAAACATCGTTGATGATCAAGAGAATCAAGAAAGAATACGAGCCAAGTTCGTTGCTTCGTTTCAGCGACACTTCCACACGAAACCGGAGTTGAAGAATGATGAAGAGAAGGGTCAGTTCCACACAGTGTCGCACCGGCTCGTCCCTGGTGGACCGAACCCACTTCATAACTTATGAGTTTGCCAGAAGAGAGTTTGTATATGCTTGCAGAGTCAAGCACAGAGACTTAAGGGACGAATCTTTATTGTAATTATTAATTTACATATAAGAATTATTTAGACTCTTTTGGCTGAAATTTGTTTAGGAAACTTGAGATTGTAATACTAGACGGATGTGGGTGTTTTCCGGTCATTAGAGCCGGAAATTGTGCTTATATGAATCCAGGCCAGCCATGGCTAGAAGCCACTTCCCTTCGGAAAAGGTCAATCTTCGGAGGTTGAACGGTATGAACCGATGGAACTACCAAATCGGAACCTGAAAAGCAAGATCCATTTGGTTTGTTTTATGGAAGAATTTGGATTTAGAGTGGTTTAGATTGGAATGGATTTGAAATCATTGATTTGTTTGGCCACTATGATTGTAACGAAATTGGATTTCATTATTTATAAATAATTATAAAAAAATATATAAAAGTAAATAAAGTATATTTTTATTAATTAATTATTACAAAATAAACGTTCTTTTAACATTTTTTAACCATATTTTATATAATCCTACGAAATCTCGTGAAATTCCGAGCATCCTCTAAAGATTTCAAAATCCTATGTTTATAGGATTTCAATTAAATTATAAGATTTCAAATCTGAACAATCAAACAAATCAAACATGGGATTGGAATGGATTTGAAACTTAGATATCTCAAATTCATTTCATTCCAACAAACCAAACGAGACCTATGAATATGGGAACCACGAACTAGACCATATGATACAGATTTAGCACCGGTTCAGAACAAGTTTATTCCAAGACCATATCGTGAATCGTAATAGATCAAGTAATACTGGTTTCTTGATTCAAAGAAAAACAAATCCGGTTTAGACTAAAATAGACCAAGAATTGGTGTTTTGATTTTTAGAACGAAGAATCAGACTTGGTGTATCGGTCTTACAGTTCCATATGAGTTTATTCACTCATAGCTGTATGTCATATCCTCTTTATTTTTTATATATAAAGTACATAATTTATACCAATAAACAAAAAAAAAAAGGAAAATAATACGAGGAATTATATGTGTCTGAATGCATATACAATACATGTACGTGAAAGTGATACGCTACACTGTTCAACCTTGACTTTAAATCGGAAAAAAAAAATCCCAATATCCAAACACCAAGTCATTTTCAAATATTATATACGTGGAACATATAATGCAAAACTATGCTCCATTGTCCAACAATACCACAAGCCATTTGGTAAATCTGTTATCTTATCTTATCTTTATGTTATTAATGGTAAATTTGTTATTAGTTAATTAAAAAAATGCAATAATTACTAAAACTGTATTTCTTTTTCTTCGTGGACGTTGACAGAGTAGACCAAGAATTGGTGTTTTTGACTTTTGATGGGATCTGTGACCCTAAAATCAACCAAAAACCTGAAACAGACAAAAACGAAGATCAAACACAACGAAAACGAGAACCAATTACCTTGAAACATGTTTTGATGGTTTACCTAATTGGAAGAAATATGGGTTTTTTTTGCTAGGATTATAGACAACAAGCTGGACCTTTACAAAAGTGATCATAAGGACTTTTGCTTTGAATATACGAAGAAAATGGTGGTTGTTTGTTTTATATTTATCCACAAAGGATTAAATCTTGAGTTGGTCAAATAAAGAGGCCATCCATCCACCCAAGGGAGAAGAACTGTGTCATCTCCTACACGTTTGCATTTTGGAATGGGGTGGTGTGGGGGTGGGTTTCACCTTTTCTCCAATTTGGTGACCCTCTACACGTGTACTCATTCACATACACCTCTTCGTTCTCTAACCTAAATACCGATTGTTAACTAAACAGCCGCTTCGTTCTGCAATTCGATCGCTGCTGGGTTTTTTCACTTCCCGATCGCCGGAGAATACTTGTAAAATGAAGTCGCCGGAGGAGCTCAGGGCTCCGGGTATTGGGGGAAAGGACCAGGTCAGTCTCTTTAGGGTTTTTTCTTGTGTAAGTAGTTGGTGATGCCCGTCTTCAATTCGAGATCTCAAATTCCCTAATTAGGAATCTCGAATCTTTTCGATACAATTGAGGGTTTAGATTTGTGAATGTAGTTTTTTTAATCTTATGGATGTAATTGAGGGTTTAGATTGAGTAGTTCCTCAGATGGGGTTTCTTCATCTTTATTAGGGTTCTTATCCCAGATACTGCGTTGAAATCTTTTGACTATTTGTTGATTTCCAATGGTATGCTTAGTGAAGTCAATTTCAAGATTTATGTTCTTGAAACAACGTTGTATTCGTATCTTAATTAGTAGCGGTTGCTATGAAATCGAGCTAAACATAAATTAAGACATTGAAACTATCATCATCAAGTAAGTAGCAAACGTGAACTTCATGAACTCAGTTACCATAGGGAGTATCATATCATGAATATGTACAAAAGAATGGATACTTGTTTGTTTCTCGCTTGGAAACGAAAGATTGAGCAGCATATTTAGGTGGGTTAGCAACTAAATCCATAGATGTTTTCTAGGATTTTGTTACGATGAGTTTAGTTGCGGATTCGTGTACAGATACATGAAAAAAGATGACACCTTTGTAGGACTTGAAGTATATCATCACAATCTCCTTTTTGCATGTGAATTAACGTTAATATGTCTGCGTTATGAACCACATTCATACTCGTCAGCTGAGATAATCTTGTCTTTTACTATCGTGATCGCATTTTCGCCTTTTAAATCTACATACCGAGGTTGTTTTCTGGATATGGAAAAAGTATTATAACCTATATGCATAGTGTTAAAAGTGTGTCTGAGGCGCAGAAGATTGGGCTTTGCTATGGTTGAGGCAAGTCAAATTCACGAGGGAGCTAAGGCGTGGCGCATTGTTGAGCCACCTTTTGGCCCTAGGAGCGCCTCATAAATCAGACTGATAGCGTTTTTAGTAAGTCTTCTCAAATTTTCGGCTCCTAGACTTCTAAAGAAGACTTATCATCTCTCACGATCAATGCACCAAACCCCTTATAAATACAACCATAGATAACGGAGAGGCTACTTCTAGTTCAAGACATCAACTCATACATGAAGAATATGAAGTTGAAGAACTAGAGAATAGCGACACCGAAGAAGATCTTAGGGAGTATAAATCCAATGAAGACGATTATAATGATAATGGGGCATACACACTTGATAATCATGGAGGAGTGACTACTAGTCGGCTGTCGGCCATTATTAAGCTATGTTTGATATTGATGCTATTTGAAAATTGAAACTGAACTATGTTTTACGTAATGCTATTTGAGTTGTGTGTAACTGTGTGTGTATATATATATATAGCCTAAAATCATATAAAAAATGTCGAAGTTAGAAACTCTATACGTATTTGATTATGTTTTGAGATGACATTCTAATTTTTGCAAGAATCTTAGATTGTAGTTGACAAGGGTGATGCAGAAGAGCTTCTTCCGGGGTGGATAAAGGAAGTGAAAGTAAGAAAGATAGGTTCTAGAACAAAAACAGACCGGGTACTTGATCGTGTTTATGTTTTCCAACTATTTCCAATGCATAATCTGGCCAGAATTATTCATGCTTTATAGTGATTAATCCGTTATCGTACTTTATATTGTCTATGCTCCCAGTACTATACGGATCCCGTCACCGGATACACATTCCGTTCATTCAAGGATGTCCAACGCTATCTCAAAACTGGAGAAGTGGGAAAACTAGCAACCAAGCCCAAGGACAACAGCAAAAGAGAAGGAACTTGTTTCTCTGAGAATTCTTCTGGCCCATGTAAGTTTTAGATTTTTCTTGATTCTTTTTCCGAAGAGAGTTTGTTGTTTTAAATTGTCGTTGCTAGAATTTGTTACTAGAAGTAACAGGTAAGAAAATTGTGGCAGTGAGCGACGTTAACCTTCCAGACGCCAGTAGATTGAAGGGACGAGAAGAAAAGAGTGAATCGAAGGAACAAATAATGGTTCCAAGTCCCGTGAGTGAAACTTCAAGGCATAAACGACCACTGGAATATGGGTCAGAAGGGTACAAAACGAGAAGCAAATCCATTGAAACGAGCAAGTTTGAATCGCCTCAACGTACTTCAAAACGATTAGCGGGTGTTGATGCACCACCGCCGTCACCGCCAGAGCCTAAAACTCGTCAAGCTACTAAACTAGCCGGCATCAAAATTGAAGCATTTGACGCACCATCACCATCACCGCCGGAGCCTATAACTCGTCAAGCTACACGACTAGCTGGCATAAAAACTGAAGCACCACCACCACCACCTCCAGAGCCTAAAACACGCCATGCTACACAACTAGCAGGCATCAAAATTGATGCATCACCACCTTCACTGTCGGAGCCTAAAACTCGTCAAGCTAGAAGATTAGCTGGAATGGACATTGATGTATCACCACCTTCACTGCCAGAGCCTAAACCCCGTCCAGCTAGACGGCTAGTTGAAATGGAAACTGATGCAGCACCACCAGCATCACCGCCAGAGCCCAAAACCCGTCAAGCTGCACAAGTAGTTGGAACGGAAATCGGTGCCCCACCACTGCCAGAGCCCAAAACCCGTCAAGCTGCACGATTAGCCGGAACGGAAATTGGTGCACCACCACTGCTAGAGTCCAAAACCCGCCAAGCTACACGACTAGCCGGAACGGAAGTTGGTGCACCACAACCGCCAGAGCCCAAAACCCGTCAAGCTAAACAACTAGCTGGAACGGAAGTTGGTGCACCACAACCGCCAGANGAGCCCAAAACCCGTCAAGCTAAACAACTAGCTGGAACGGAAGTTGGTGCACCACAACCGCCAGAGCCCAAAACCCGTCAAGCTAAACAACTAGCCGGAACGGAAGTTGTTGCACCGCCACGGCCAGAGCCCAAAACCCGTCAAGCTACACGACTAGCCGGAACGGAAGTTGGTGCACCGCCACTTACAGAGCCCAAAACCCGTCAAGCTACACGACAAGCCAGAACGGAAGTTGGTGCACCGCCATCGCGAGAGCCCAAAACCCGTCATGCTACACGACTAGCTGGAATGGAAATTGATGCATCACCACTGTCCCTACCAGAGCCTAAAACTCGCAAAGCTACAAGACTAGCTGGAATCAGAATTGATGCATCACCACCATTGCCAGAGCCTAAAACTCGTAAAGCTACACGACTATCTGGAATGAAAACTGATTCACCACCCGAGCCCAGAACTGGTCGTCAAGATACTGTTAGACGGGCTAGAGAAGCGGAAACCAGAACTGCTGTTAAATTGGGTACTCCAAAAGAGAATGAGAAGATAGCTGAAGTGGAAAAGCGCACATCTGATGAGATGCAAGTGGAATGTGTTAGAAAGATCACCGAAAAGCATGATGGAAATGCTGGCATGGATAAAAAGCCTAACTGTAAACAAGAAATTTCTTTTCTTTCGCCTCCAACAACTCTGGAAAGTCATGAGAAGATCAAGAAGGATGATTTTAAGGCCGATGAGAAACAAGAATTCGTATTTTCTCCCAAAGAACACCATAACGTGATTGAAATGGGACCTGCTGCTCTGCCGCCAGTGAGTCACACCACCCCTAAAGAGCAAGTACCACCGACTGTTGTTCCACCGCTGGATTTGGGGATTCAAATAAACGATAAACACCATGAAAAACAAGAATCACCTGTGGTTAACCCTTCAATTAACAACCCGATTCAGCAAGATGGTAATGCAAAGCCTGAATCATCATCCATGAACTTTTGTTTAAACGATTTCTGGACAGACCCATGCATCGAATTTGCTGTAAAAACTCTAACAGGCGCCATCCCATTTGGAGATCTGAATAAAGCCAACAACTTTGCTGCAACTCCATTAGAGGTACCTCTGGAAGAGCTCTGGACAGACCCATGTATCGAATTTGCAGTAAAGACTCTTACAGGTGCCATTCCTGTTGGGGAAGAAGATTATTTACAGCACCAACCTAGCAGCAGCCGTTCAGAGAGCCGAACCATTCAAAGCTTCTCTTTGCCTGATGTTGGTATGAACTTCTGCCAAACTGAGGTTTTATCGAAGCATTTCGAAACAGTCCATAATAAGCAGCAACAGCAACAGCAGCAGCAGCAGCAGGATTCGGTCGTTTTACAGAAACCAGGCGTCGGTCAAGTGAGTAGTAGTAGTAGTAATGTTAATGGTCAATGTTCTAGAGCAAGGTTCTTTTAAGTAGGGAGGGAAGGATTATGTGCAGTTGTAGACCAAGTAGAATCTTAGTTTCAGGTTTTCCGTGATGTTTTATGTTGTTGTCTGGAGTTTCTGATTAATGTTGTAAAACTGTACTTTCAGATGATAGATGCTGATGATGGCCTTTTAAGTTTAAAATAAATCAATTTATGTTTTATTTTATTTTCAGCTGTCTAAAACAAACGAGTTGAACGGATCATATCGATTCAAATCCATTTTTGTTAAAAAAGTTCGAATTGTAACCGTAGATATAGGCAAAGAAATGTTTTGAGATCCAACTCGACTTATAACAGTTCGTAATCGTAGGTATGGGCAAACCGGTTAATCGTTGGACCCTTAGCCAGTGTGGGTTATGAGAGCAGGTTGGTCCCTTCATGGTATGTCGTTGGACCCATGTCGTTTTGTAACAAGTTGGTCCCTTCATCTGACGACTATCCACTTCCTCCATTAACCTTGAGGGAATTTTCGTTCTTTTTTTTTTTTTTTTTTTTTTTGTATTTTACGTAATCAAAATCGATTTTTATGATTTCTGTCTATATAGTTTTTTTTTTTTTTTTGTCTTTACTTGAGAGACCAATTCGTAAAAGCCACACAAACCATAAGGACCAAATCCATAATTAAATCTAAAAAATAATTTTTTTTTAAACTTTGAGTTTATTAAATTAGTTATTTATTATACTTTAATCTATATTAATTATTATACTTAAGTTTAATTTTAGTATACAATATATTTTTTTTCAAAAAATAATATTATTATGTACATCTACACACGTGTGTGCATATGGACACGCATATAGTGAGGTTTATGAGAAAATGATCTCTTTCAATCATTAGATTAATTGATTCAATGGGTATGTTTAAATAGACGTTTACAACAATATTTTTTAAACTAAAAAAACCTTACCCCACCTATTTTTTATTCAAAAAAAAATTATAAATAAAAATTGAGTAAAATAAATTACACTAAAAAACAATCATATTTTTCTCACTAATTTGACATCCATATTGAAAATTTTTACATCAGTTTTTTCATGGTTTTCTGGTTTTTCATTTATTTTGCATTGAGAGAGAGATAGTTGAGTTCAGGGGGAAACACTAAATAAATGAAAAACCAGAAAAATCATGAAAAACGGATGAAAGAATGTATCAATGTGGTGTAATTTATTCCATTCGATTTTTGTTTATATTTCGTTTTTTTCTGAATAAAAATTAGGGGTGATGAGGTTTTATAATTTAAAAAATGTTGTTATAAACGTCCATTTAATTATACGCGTTGAATCAATTAATATAATGGTTGATGGAAGCGGCTTTCCTTTAAACGGTTAAACCTCACTATGTACGCGCGCGTGTGTGTGTGTGTGTATATATATATATATATGCTGGTTATTATACAACCCATGACATTTGTGCAACCAATACAATCCAATCTCGACCGTCCATTTCATTTGATTAATATGTGATTTCATAGAAGTTTTGATTGTTTCCTAATATAAAGTATTGATCATAATTAATGAAACATATTCATGTTTCATAAATATTCAAATCATAATAAATGAACTCTCATCATTTCCATAAATATCTCAATTTATTGGGTTGCATTGGTTGTACAAATGCAACATGTTGTATTTGAAACAATCTCTCTCTCTCTCTCTCTCTCTCTCTCTCTCTCTCTTTCTATATCTATACTATCTTATTAAGCAAATTCATCAAAAGTCTTAAAGTCTTAAAATTTTAAATGACCAAGATACCCTTTTCACTTTTTCACTCTTTCCTCTCCTCACCCCTTCACATACATTTACCTCTCACATTCAACAACGAATTATTTTAAATTTACATTTTATATCCCTATAATTAGTTAATTA